CTACTCTTATATTTCTTAGTCTTAATTCTTATTGTAACTAATACGTGTGAATGTTTGCTATTAACACTCTTGAGCTGCCGTGTTAGCTCAATCAATTGCTTCTCTGAATGAGATATATGTGGCATATGCTCAGCTCCAATATATATTAGTAGTAGTATCTTACTACTATATATTCCTGTTTCATATAGGATGATCCGATTAATCAATGTAAAGATGATACTACTTGGAGATATCTGTATTAGATCTGTATCATATGTTGGCGAGGCAGGAAGTGATTGAGCGAAGATACCGTATCTACTATATTCTACTATACAAATGATATTAAGTCAATGGATAGTCACACCGGACCACATCATAAAAATACACATGGGATGAAGGATAGATGATTTATTCCCCTCCTGAAAATGTGCAGATAATATAAGCAAATGGCATAAGAATGGTATACAATCCCATTTTACCCATACAAATGCTCTAAATAATCCTGCTCAAAATCATCCTCGGGATCACCGCCACCACCACCACCCGACTTCGACTTCTTCGAAGTCTTCATAACATCACTAATACTAACAAGCTTGGAATAGAAATCCGTAACCTTCGGGTGAACCATGACCTTGCGCGCCTCGAACCGCATAACCTGAAGACCAGCTTTCGAGGTCGCCCGACTCAGCGCAACATAGGCCTGACCCTTCTCAAACACGCGGCCCAAATCAACCTTCACCCGCTGCAGCGTCTGGCCCTGCGCTTTATGGATGGACAAAGCCCAAGCCAGAATAAGCGGCACCTGTTGACGCTGCGCCTGCACCTCTCCGTTGGGAAGTTCGATCTTCCACGTCTCCGGCTGGCAGAGGAGATGGCGTTCCGTTCCGTCAGGCTGCACGAAGCATACAAGGGGCCATTTGCGGGTGAGCGTGATGCCGCCGGGACCACTAACGTCCTTGTTGGCGGCCATGGGCTTGAGTTTCTTGCGTGCACGAGCCATGATCTCGTCGTCGCTGTTGTTGCCTGATCCTCCTGCTCCCGAGAATTCGTTCTCGTTGTCGATGTAGTAGTCGAAGGTGGCTTCGTCCATGAATGCCACGACTCGGCCGATGGAGCCGTTGACGAGCGTGTCTTCCATATTTTTGATGAGCATGACTTGTGCTCCCTTTTTCAGGTGGATCACTGGCGGTGCCATGCAGTTGGCTAGAAGGCGTTCGCGGAATTGGGGGTCTTGTATTGTGCCACTGTCGACGGCGTTGAAGGTCATTGTTTCGCCGGATAGGCGACTCATTCGAGCGCCGTTGGCGCTTTCGACTTCTTGGCGTGTGGGGAACCTGGAGACGGAGTGAGATGGGTGCTTGGGTTTGGAATGGGCATGGTTATACGGGGGTATGTGTCAAGCTTACAGTTCGGTGGCCTCGAGGGAGTCATGGAAATCGAGAGGCCGAGAAAGTTGTTTGAATGTGTCGATGGTTCGTGGTGAGATCTTTCCAAGTCGAAGCTCGTTGAGCATGTCGGCGAATTCGGGGTCTCGTTGACGGAAAATGTGGGTTAGGAGGATGGTGTGTTGTATGGAAGTGTTCCATGTCGCTGCTGCGAATGCGAATTTGGCTTCTCGGTTGCTCCCTTCTGGGACGGGAGGAAGTTGGAAAAAGTCACCAGTGACTACTAGTTGTATGCCTCCGAAAGGACGACCGTTGTTCCTAATGCGACGTGCGATTTCCTCTAGCTTATCGAAGAGATCGCCGTCAACCATGGACACCTCATCGACGATCAGAACCTTGGTGCGCATCCAGCGATTCCGGGCTTTCTGATTCTTCTTGATCTATAGATAGTTAGCACATGTGTATTGGTGTGATCGATCGACGCCAATGCTGACCTTTTTGACAAGCTCCGGAACAGGTTCCTTCCCCAATCCAATGCCTGCGAAACTGTGGAGAGTGACACCCTCGATATTACACGCTGCTAGCCCAGTAGATGCTGTCACCGCAACCCTGTCCGGCTCTTTCTTGTATTTATCCCTCAGTTTCTTGATGATCTCCCTCATAAGCACCGACTTGCCTGTTCCGGCAGATCCTGTGAAGAAGATACTCTTCCCTTGCTGTACAACCGCATCCAAGACATGACGTTGCTCATCGCTGAGGAAGATCGAAGCTACCTTCGTGCGGGGGTTGTGCATTTGGCCGCCTGCTTGTGCCTTCATAGTCTTGTTCTGCCGACGCAGTTCCCTTTGCTCATCCTTGATCGCGCTAGCTGACTTGTTCCAGGGAGCCGTCTGTTTCGGCCGCATAGGCGTTTGCGGCTTCAAAGATGGAGGCTCTGGTTCTGGTTCCGGCTCGTCTTTCAGCCATGGTAAAGTTCGAGGCTTCCTGGTCGGTTGTTGGTAGTGGGAGGGGGGCGAAGAAGACCATGGAATTTGTATGCTGCTGGATGGCGGGACACTCTCATCTGGAACCGGGGGTAAATCAGGGTACTTAACCTCCGCCGCCGCCTTGCTGGGTGAAGTCAAGTCGACTATCGATATTTCTTCGTCTTGCGCAGGTATGCCATGGAGGGACGGGTACTTGGGCGGTTCAGGTTTCGGGACGCTCGGTCTGGTTATGGGGGCCGGGGGAATGAATGGATCGGGTTCCTCAAAGTCCAGGTCGTCATCGTCGTCAAAGTCGTTCTCGTCAAAGTAGACGCCATCGTGGAGGGACCCCAGATTAGACTCTCGCACGGTAGCCATCTCAATCTTGCGCTTGACCCCTGCGGACGGCGGCGGGGGTCTCATTGAAGCATTCCCATTGTTGCTGCGCGTAAGCGTGGATTGTAGCGGAGTCGCCGACGCTACTGAATGTTCCTTGACGGCTTTCTTGAACATCACAGCTCCCTCTCCAACCGGCGAAGTTCGCGATGCGGAGTATCTAGTAGAGGCCGTTGGCGATTTTATAATTGGACCATTTGAAAGGAATTGGCGGAGGATACCTGGGGTCGACGCGCGGTGTCTGGAAAGGTACATATACTTGAATTCAGGGTAAGTTGGAGATGCAGCACTTGCCTGCCCTGATCAATCTATTGATGAAACTATTCAATTATCCACCGGCGCGTTTTGGCGATACGCGCCGCGCCACTACTTATCTCTCACGTGATTCCGATAAGGGCTGGCTTATGAATGCCCTTTGCACGTGCAATTGTCTACCGTCTGTAGAATACTGCCTCTACTTCAGAAGGTGTCATTGTGCTCAGCCTGTAATGCAATAATAGCTGGATTGCAGGTCATAATAAACTAGTAACATCTTAAATGCAGAATGACTTCGATATCCGATATATTGGACTGCCATTCCCCCTCCCTCCTCCGTTGGACGCCCCTCCCTTCTCCTTTAGTTATTCAACAAACTAACTAACTCGACAGCTTCATGATGATCCCCATCAATCCAAGTCCCCTTTCGAAACAACATTGGTAACATCATCCTGTTGTCTTGGCTTTCTCGCCTTGAAGAGCATGACCTGACCCATAACCCATGACTCCACCTCCTCAAAGTTCCGACGAAGTCCCTCATCAAACTGAGCCTTGTTGTCCTCCGAATTATGGAAAGACTTTGTGTTGTTGTTATAGCTGTTCATCATCTTCTGCCCCAGCCAGTTGATTGGTACACCCTGACCAAGGACCGTCGTCCCCACAAGAACGCCGTCCTCCGCCAGATGCGGCCGCACCACGTCGAACAACTTGCACTTCTCTTCAGGTGTTCCCGGAATGCAATGCAACAGGAAGAAGACACTAATCGAGTTGAATTTCTTGGTCTTGTCGAAGGGCAGTGGCTCCAGGGCCGAGGCCACGACGGTATTCACGCGCACCGCCTCACGGCCTACCGTCTCCAGGATACGCTTCTCGGCAGCCTGGAGCGAGTTGGGACTGAGGTCTAGGAGGGTAATCTCAGTGCATTTGGCACCGGCCTTTAGGCTCTTTGCTGGATAATAACCTGTTCCGACGCCAATGTCTAGGTGTCTCTGGCCCATGGCGGCATTAAACAATGGGAGTTGAACGGTTGAGGTTGGGCATTTCCATGCAAAGTTGTTGGAAACCCATAGAACCCAGAAATCGTAGAAGTAGCGGAGAAGAAAGGGAGTATAGAGTGCAATGCCTTCTTCCAAGGCTGAAGGGGTCTTTGATGAAGCTGTCATGGCTGATTTGGGGGTGGACGTGAGAGTGAGTGTGTTTGTGTATCCCTCTTCTTTTCTTTTGTTCAAAACTTCCTCTTGGAATTGAGGGCAACAAGATAACTATGGGAGGGAGATGGGCGCCCCTGGTGGTAAAGAAAAGAATGTCGCAGGGCTGGATGCCATAACACCACCCAAGCGTTCCTGCGAAAACGTCAAATCTAGACTGTCATGCAGTCTCACCCGCTTGCGCAGGTCATGTCTTATCCATCGAATGACAGCACTCGAACAGCTTTGACTTTCCATTCTATTCTATCATGTTGTCTATCGTGAGTATACGTACTGTCTGACAGGAATGTTCACTGTCTTATCTTTCTGTCATTACCCCCTCCCTTGCCTCCATTGTTTCCTATGAGCGCTTTATTTGATGGCTCTTCGGCCAATGGTAGACCACTCCATGGGAATCTTGCTGGAAAACGGTCTCATTTGTTATATAGAAGCCATATTATTGTCACTTGCTGAGGCGCCGAACTGATAACCCTTACAGTAGTTGTATGTCTCTCCAGTAGTCCGTGATAGGCAGTAGAGCCCCTTGCTTGAATTCTATCCGTCAGCTATGCAACTTTAGCAATCTAGACAATGATTGACTCCTACTGCTGAGCAGGAATTGACTCAGCTGTGTCTAGAAATCCAGTGATCACGACATCGTTGACTGGGCAGTAAAAGGTTTCCGGTATGACAGTGTGGCCAGTTTACGAATCCATGGGAATGACGCGTATTAGAATGCGCAGGGAAGAGATATCGCATGCACACACCGCAAGTTCCACTTTGATAGCAGTATAATACCAGCTTGTGATATACAGGCCTGGTGAGTGTGGTGCCACCCATTCTTGCCTTAGTATTAGACAGTATACCTTACCGGCCGAATTCGATATATCGTAATTCCTTCTTTGTTCTCATTCTTGGAGTTTTACCTGCTGCTGTGGTCCTTTCCTCCCCCAAAATTTGTTCAGAAGAGAATGGAGAAGACTCAGGAAGAAACAACAGCCATGGTACCAGAAAACGACTTCAACCTTACCGACGACCCATCTAAGCTTGGTCACAATGTCGTTTCCCTCTTTAATCAGATTCAGACACGATACTCCCCAAAGCCCGCGATAGTCTGCGGGGACCATACCATCACATACGGTGCTCTTGCATCTGAGTCGGATCGCCTGGCCTGCCTCCTTCTATCGCGAGGCATCAGCCGTGGCCATGTGGTGGCTCTTGCACTAGACCGCACACCGGACCTGATCATGTTCATTCTCGGTGTCTTGAAAGCCGGTGCGATATATGTACCCGTTGATCCTGCTTTACCCCCCGAGCGTGTCAACCAGATGCTGGATGATGAGGCGCTACGCCTGGTGATAGTTAGTCCTGCTAGTACCAAAGGGGGGACGGGCACCAGTCGATATGATTATGGTCATAAGGCGGCCTGCTGCACGACAAGCGAACTGCGAGACCAGATGAGATATCAAGCGGACAAGAAGCCAGCTGTGGGTATCCAAGCAGACGACATTGCCTATATCCTTTACACATCCGGCTCCACGGGCAAGCCCAAGGGCGTAGAAATTCATCACGCCGCTATATGCAACTATGCGTTGTCGGTACACCAAAGACCTGGCTGTACTGACCAGGACCGCGTGCTATTCAAGAGCACAATTTCCTTTGACATGGCCGCGTTTGAGATTTACGTGCCATTGCTGTGCGGCGCCACGGTCGTGCAGGCACAGGCACACGAGATCGGCGATCCCCGCGCGCTGATATATCTCCTTGATCGCCACAGCGTCACCTTCTCCGTCGCGACGCCGACCATCTTACAGATGCTGCTGGACAGCGGTTGGTCTGGCACGCCAGGCTTCTCGAGACTGGTTACCGGCGGCGAGGCACTGTCACCTCGCCTGGCAGAGCGTCTAACCGCGTGTGTTGACGAAGTATGGAACCTATACGGCCCGACTGAGACAACAGCCAGCGTGGCTGCTTGGAAAGTCCAAGCCCGCGAGGACATCTTAATTGGAACGCCTAACCCAAACACACGGCTATATGTCCTCGACACCGACATGCAACCTGTGCCGGTTGGAAGCACTGCCAAATTGTATATTAGCGGAGCAGGAGTTGCTCGTGGATATCGAAACAATCCAGAACGCACCAAGGCTGCTTTTCTTCCGGACCCTTTCTGGGAAGGCCATACCATGTACAAGTCTGGAGATTTGGCATGCTTCTTGGACCCCAAGAGACTGGCCGTCATCGGTCGGGTAGACACGCAAATCAAGATTCGCGGGCAAAGAATTGACCCTGGTGATGTTGAGGCGTCCATCACAGCTCACGGAGCTATTGCCAATGCCGTTGTCGTCAATCGAGACGAGCGGCTCGTCGCATATTGTATACGAAAGTCGGGTGTTGGCAGCGTAGATGTTCCTCTAGCCAAGTTGCTACGCCCCTGGCTAGAAAGCCGCCTCCCCAGATACATGGTCCCCTCATTTTTCGTCGAAGTCGATCGATTTCCTTCCACCCTCAACGGCAAAGTGGATCTCAGAGCACTACCCGATCCCATCTCGACTATCACACCGGCGCAAAAGCCCGCTTCCACGCTGACACAACAGCTGCTGGCTATCTGGACCAATGTACTGGGTCACAGTCAGATTGGCATGCAGGACAACTTCTTCCACATTGGCGGCAACTCTGCTAGCATCATCCAGGTCCAAACCAAGTTGGAGAAGTTTCTGTATCGGCCAGTGCCGGTGCCAAAACTGTATGAGCATTTCACCGTTGCCAGCCTTGCTGCATATCTTTCTGAAGAAGCCCAGATCAATGGGGCCACCGAAGAGACGAAGGACTCCGTCGGGAACGATGCCACTGGTGAAGATATTGCTGTCATCTCCATGGCGTGCAGGCTGCCCGGCGATATTCACACGCCAGAAGAGTTTTGGAATGTTCTCATTAGCGGCACCGACGCCGTCACCAAGGTTCCTGAGGAGCGTTGGGATGCCGATGCCATTTACGACCCCGACCCGGAGGCCCCCGGCAAGTCCTACAGCACGGGTGGTGGCTTCGTCAGGGATGCCATGGAGTTCGATGCGCAATTTTTTGGGATCTCCCCTCGCGAGGCTCGGGCTATCGACCCTGCGCAGACCATGATCCTGGAGACATGCTGGGAGGGATTCGAATGGGCAGGCTATGGCACTAAGTCCCTGCGTGGCAGCCGACTGGTGTCTTCATCGGGACCGGTAACAGTTCTGTGGATGACGGTCAGCTAAGCGCTGCCGGCACAGAAAAGCTTGAAGGACATCTAGGTCTCGGAACGGCGCCGAGCTCGCTCTCTGGCCGCGTAGCATATGCTCTGGGGCTCGAGGGTCCTACGATGACCTTGGATGCTGGGTGCGCTGCCTCACTAGTCGCCACGCATGTGGCATGCTCCGCACTTCGTCAGGGCGAGTGTAACATGGCTGTGGCCGGTGGTGTCCCATTCTTGCCCTCACCTGGTTTGCATGTAGAGTTTAGTCGGCTTCGCGTGACATCACCAGATGGTCGCTCGCGACCATTCTCAGCGAACGCGGCTGGGATGGGACTGGGAGAAGGTGCCTCGGCTGTGGTTTTGAAACGTCTCTCGGATGCGCAGCGTGACAATGATCATATCCATGCTATAATCCGCGGTTCGGCAGTCAACCACGGCGGCCGTGGCGCTAGCATGACAGCACCGAGTGGACCAGGCCAGAAGCGTGTTGTCCGCGCAGCTCTGGCGGCTGCGCGCCTGAAACCGTATGATATTGACTATGTCGAGGCGCATGGGACTGGCACCAAATTAGGAGACCCGGTCGAGGCCTCAGCTTTGGCAGAAGTATTCAGCAGTAGCCGCGATGATGCCACCGGGCCGCTGAGGATTGGTTCCTCAAAGTCCAATATCGCACACACGCAGGCGGCCGCCGGCGTCGCAGGCCTTATCAAAGTGGCTCTGGCGACGCAACACAACACGCTGCCACAGACACTGCATAGCAGTCAGCCCAGCCCATTGATCGACTGGGTGGGTGGCAAGTTGCAACTGCTCCAACGCCCGATGGCATGGCTACCCAGGACAAACAGCCCGAATGCTCCGCGACGAGCAGGAATTAACTCATTCGAATTATCAGGCACTAACGCGCATGCTATAGTTGAAGAGCCTCCAAGGGCTCGCTCAAACGCTAATGGCGACAATAATGATGATGATGCGAGGTCGCCTTTGCCGCTGCCATTTCTCCTCTCCGCCTATACAAGTGAAGCGCTACGTGGGCAAGCACGCAAACTTTACAATCATATCTCCAGGGCCACTGCAAAAATCAAGCTGGCTGATGTATCGTACTCGTTGGCGACTACTCGCACACATTTTCCACGACGCATCGTTCTTGCGGCACAAGACAAGACTGAACTGCTGGGCAGCCTAGCAAGTGTTATCGACAACGGAGTACCGGCAACTGCTGACAACAGCAAGTCAGCTCGCGTGGCGATGTTGCTTTCCGGACAGGGCACTGAACGACACATGATGGGCAAGGGTCTTGCTGAACGTCACCTCGTGTTCCGCAACACCATCACTCACATCGCAAGCCTGTTCGAGGAAGTTCTAGACAAGCCTCTGTTGGATGTTATGTGGGCAGATCCGGCGAGCGAGGCCGCTTCCTTGCTCCTGCGTACGGATTATGCCCAACCAGCTATCTTTACCCTCCAGGTAGCACTATGGAGACTATGGCAGAGCTGGGGTGTCCAGCCAGCAGTTGTGTTGGGCCATAGTGTTGGCGAGATTGCGGCTGCGCACGTCGCCGGAGTTATAGATCTGGCGGACGCTTGCCGCTTGGTCGCGGCACGAGGGAAGTTGATGCATGCGCTGCCTGAAAATGGTGGTATGGTGGCACTTGAAGCCGCCGTAGACGAGGTTACTTCAGCCATGGAGCAACTCAGTGCCCGCGACAGGGTGTCGATTGCCAGTATCAATGCGCCAATGCAAGTGGTAGCTTCTGGAGAGATGGATGTCATTAACAAATTGGCAGCTTACTTTAAGGCTCAGGGCAGGTCTTCCAAGGTCCTCAAAACTAGTCGCGCATTTCATTCGCATCATTTGGATGAAAGCATGCTTGCCTCATTACGCACCGTCGCAGAAACGATTGTGTTCCAGCAGCAAACGCTGCCTATTGTCAGCACAGTCACAGGCAAACTGGCAGAGCCTGGGCAACTTAGTAATGCGGATTACTGGGTCCGACAAGCTCGCAACCCAGTCCTGTTCGCAGAAGGCATGCAGACCCTCGCTGACCAGGGTGCGAATTGCTTTGTTGAGTTGGGCCCGGCATCGACACTGTGTGGTATGGGGGCCTCATGTCTCGATGGGGACAGCAGTCAGACGAGCAGAATGGCCAACCGCGAAGGCGGAGTGAACCTGGCCTGGCTGCCCTCGTTAAACCCCAATAGCGACGACGCTCTGGTAATCCAAAATAGTCTCTCGGAACTACATATCCGACAAGCAGAGATCGACTGGGCAGCCTTCTTCAAAGACATTGGCGGGCGCCGCATCCAGCTTCCTACGTACGCATTTCAGCGACATCGGTATTGGCTCGACGGATTGCGACCAATATACAGCGGTAAGCCATCTGACCAGTCTCCTTCAGGTGGCCCTCAACCCACCGGTCAGGTTCAAGTTGGATGGCATGCTATTGACGCGAGTAGCCATTATTCCAATTCAACTTGGGGTCTGCTCTGTCCAGCAAATGATGCCCCGTGGATGGCACCGGTGAAGGAAGCATTGTTGCACGCCGGAAAGCAACCGATTACAGTCAATCGGCTCGCGGAAGCCAAAACAATGAGCGGCGTGCTTTGTTTTTGGGAATCAGAACGTGAAGATGACTTGACCTCCAATGCATCTGAGCAATTGCAGATAGTGTCCAGGATGGGGTTCTCTCCCTGGCTAGTCTGGGTGACGCGTGGTGCTGTTCGAGCCGGAAATATGGGCGAGACATCGCTCTGGGGTATGATGCGACGCGCACGCGTGAAATATCCTCAACTCTGTTTGCGTATTGTGGACCTGGAGGGTGACGTGGACATCGCTACAGCCACTAAACTCTGCTCAATCTTGATGATGAGTACCGAACCTGAATGTGTTGTGCTTGGCGAACGAGTGCTCGTTCCGCGAATGCAAATGCAAATGCAGGCGCAGCCCCAGGAGGTCCAGAAGCATGGTAAGCTGTGTGTAAATGATCGAGAGACGACGAATGGAACCACAGCAGCTGCAAAGTCGAATGGGACGGACAGCTTCGAGACCAAGATCAGGATGGTTGGCCCTGAGGAGAGGGCGCCAATGCTTCAGCGACTGGTACGAGAAGTAACTGCCAAAGTACTTGGTGTGGCGGCTGCAGAGGAAGTAGATATGCACCGGGGGTTCATGGATGTTGGAGTGGACTCATTAGGAGCCATCCAGATGCGTAAAGAGCTCTCAGCACGGACTGGGTTAAAGTTGCCACCTAACTGGACGAGAGTGTATCCGGATCCTACCTCACTTTCCGATGCCTTGCATAATCAGGTAAAGGGGATAGTAGCTGCTAGCTGATGGTTGTTAGTAGAATGCTGCTTCTTTCGGTCTTTAATTATATAGATGCTAGCTAAATTAATGAGAGGTTGCTAACGCTGTCCGACCCTTGGTTTATCATGGAGATCAGCATGCTACTTAACGTTAGTATTGATCGGGAGCACAATGGCAAGCAGTGTTTGTAGAATGTGGTAAATCCAGCCAATGTGTACCATCGATGGCGTCGAAGATGTTCTGCTGCATCTTCACAAAGGGAAAGAACCCCCTTCAGTCACGTGACAGCGTATACTCCCCAGACGCGCTTCCGCGCGGAGCTCCGATAGAGCGAATCTTCAAATCGGCGCACCGGTCCCAGGCTGATTTCTGCCAATCATGAAGCATGGCAGAGAAAGCAACCTCGAGTCAGTACTCAATCCCTCTTTTTAGATAGCAAAAGACAGACTAACTCCACTCCAGACAAGGAGCATCCTCTTACGGGGGTGGTCCTCTGCTTTACCTCCATCTTACCAGAGCAGCGGGTATGCTAAACGCCCTCTGATGCTTGTACTTCTTGTTATATTTCTTCAACCAATCTAGCACAATACTGATGACTATGTGTGTCGCGTCTAGTCTGAACTCGCTATCGTCGCAAGTCAGATGGGAGCAACCCACAAATTTGACCTTACCTCCGACGTCACGCATCTGCTTATCGGCGAAGTCAATACTCCGAAATACAAGTTCGTCGCGCGCGAGCGTACCGATATAACAGTCCTGAAACCGGAATGGGTTGAAGCTGTTCGCCAATCATGGATGCAGGGAGGCGATACAGACATTCGGGCCTTAGAAGAAAAGTACAGGTTCCCGACGTTTGCTGGGCTATCTATCTGCATAACGGGCTTTGAGGATAGTGAGTAGGGAATACCGGACATAGAGCGACCTGGAAGACTGGTCTAATGCATATGCTATAGTGTCGCTGCGAAATCGTATCCAGGACACCGTCACTGCCCACGGAGCCGAGTTCCGAAAAGACCTCACCAAGAACGTCACTCATCTCATTGCCCGGAATACGGAGGGTGAGAAATATAAATTCGCAACGCAGTGGGGTATCAGAATTGTCACGGTGAAGTGGTTCGAGGATAGTCTTAAGCGTGGCATGGTCCTGGAAGAAACTCTCTATCACCCTCTTCTACCCGATGAGCAACAGGGCGCTGGTGCCTGGAATCGATCGCTGCCTACTCCGAAACCAAAAGTCACAAATAACGAAAACCCCTCAAATCCTAGACCGAGAAAGCTTCGGAGGATTGCAAGTGCTAAGCTGGGAGACCAGAATGAAGGCATCTGGGGTGATATCGTCGGTACGGGTTTCGACAGCAGCGATCCGAAGCCATCTAGAGAAAGTCTGCAGAGGACCCAGTCTTTGACAAAGAGGCCCTCTATCTTGCAGGAATCGCGCTCATTTGCGAGCGAGACTACCTTTGCAGAACCGCAGGAGCCCCTTCAACCGCCCCCGCCCCCGCCCCCGCCCCCTCCACCAGCTGTAGAGAGTCACGAGGGTTTTCTGGGTGATTGTTTCTTCTTCATTCATGGGTTCTCCTCTAAACAGGTTGGTGTGCATACCCTTACACTTTATTCCACCTGCTAACCTTCCAAGACCAACGTATTGCGAGATCACCTTTCCTTCAATGGTGCAGAGCTAGTGAGCTCCTTGAGCGAATTCTCTAGACCAGACATACCCAAAAGGGGCCATGGCCTTTATACCATCGTGCCCTACAAGATGTCCCGCGCACAGGTTCCATCCACGGATGACTTGGCTTTCGAATGCGAAGTGGTGACCGACATGTGGCTGGAAAGATGCCTCGATGCGAAGACGCTGGTACCGCCAGAATCACACACAGCGAATACCCCGATCCCTTCTTTCCCCCTCAAAGGTAGAATCCCAATCAGCCCCCGATGGACGTTTAGCTGACAGTTCTAGGATTCGCGGGAATGAAGGTCTGCTCTACTGGCTTTTCCCGAATTGACCTTCTCCATCTAGCAAAACTCGTCAACCTTGTTGGTAAGTTGCTCTAGGCAGCTTCAGGAACTCGTCTAACCCTCCAGGTGCCACCTACAACGAGTACTTGACACCCAGCGCCTCCATCCTTATATGCAACGACGCCGGCCCCGTGAACCCGGAGAAGCTGCGGCATACCCAAGAATGGGGCATCCCCGCCGTCTGTGCAGACTGGCTCTGGTCCTCCATCCGCAACGAACAGAAACAACCAGTCGACCAATACCTAATCCAAAAGCAACCTACACAAAGCAGAAAGTCTCTGGAACCGCGAGCAGGTTCTCGCCCAGAGCAGAAGCAACCCCCCAATAGTAACGAGCACCCACGTCCCAGACACGAGCATGAGCACGAAAAACAAAAATCAAGCATCACACAACCACCAGACACATCCTCATCAGACCCCAACCCCACAACCAAACCACCCCCAGCCCCAACCAACACAACCACCACCACCTCCCCCCTCAAGCGCAAACCCACCGACCAACACACCTCAACCACAACCACAACCACCCAAACTGCCCTCAACCAAGCCGTAACCAGCCTCCTCAAAAACGCCCGGCCAGCGCAACCTTCCGAACCCAGCACCGGTCCAGACGACCGCCACCGACCTCAACGAGGCCGAAGACCGCTCCTGGGCCGGGCCCCCTCCTCCCTCGACCACCCTAAGCACTTCTCCTTCTCCCGCGCCAGCTCAATCGACACCCTCAACGAAGACGGTTGCGGCAGCGCCGTCGAGTCCACCACCACGACCGCCACCAATTCCCGCATCCCCTCGCTGTCTCACACCCACAGCAACCAATACGAGTACCAGTACCCGGAGCGTAACGGCACCCTCGAAGAAGAGGACGAGAACGAGGCCCCGCCCATGACACAGCTGGACTATGAGGACCCGGATGCAGTAGCCATGCGGGAGAAATTCCTCCAAAAGGCCGGGAAGGTAGTCGAGAAGAAGAAGTCGAATGATGTGATTGCGGAGGGGAGACTTGTTCCTGGGTTGGAGAATGGGGCGTGGGGGACGGCGAGGAGGACAAGGCATACTAATCGCGCGTTGGATGATCTTTGATCAAACCATGATTCTTGTTGGATTGGCATGTGAGTTCTGTTGGCTAGATAGAATTATATGTGGATGTGCGAGTTTTATCTCTAAAGGATAGAAAAGAGGTTAACCGGTGACGGGTTAATTATCTACCTTTGGTTTGTTTGGACATTCATGTGTCCATTGTGTTCTGTCTGCTGTTGAGTGCATGCATAGCATAGCATGGCGTCTCTGTCCTGAATGAATACCTACTACTAGCTACTAAGGCAAGTCATGATTGGTTTATATGAATCCTTGGGTTTGGAGTTTTACGCCTTGTTTTCCAGCCTAGTTGTTCATTCCCTGTACTTGCATTATGGAAACAATCCTACACCAGATCTGACAATCGTGCTATGACACTACTGATTACGATAGAAAAGAAACCAAGCATAATAATAAAGGCACAGCCTCAATCTAGTCAATACCTTTGCTAAAAAACCACGAACACTAAAAACCATAAGCAGAAACTATGGTAGGTAGTACTGCTAGGTATGCAATTAAGCTCTAAGACGCCAATAAACGATGGTGATACGCCAGAAACTGAAACTACTTAAGTAATCATCATCCATAAGCTGACGATAACAATCATCAACCAGCCCTATCCTGCAAGGGATGGGGTAATGATGCAGATAAAAATAAGGAGAAAAGGAAGGGTGAAGGGGAGGTGAATGTACATACACGAGGGGGATATTTTGAGTGGCAAAGGAGATGAGGAAGAGGGAGGTAAGAAAAAGTGCCAGCCACGGCTAACACTTCTCTTGAACAGAGAGGGAATAGCAGTAGCAAGTTCGTACAGCATCATTAAATTATGTTTTGTACAGTTGTCAAAGATGATGGGGGATAGGAAAAAGAAAATAAGAGTAAAAGTCAAGAGTTGGTATCTAAGCATGGGCTGCCAGGCCACCAGGTAAGGGAGCATCGAGATCGATGTTTTCGACTGAGGTGCGGTTCTCGCCGCTCTCGCGGAACAAGTTCGTAAAGTACTTGCAGGCGGCGTCGCTTTCCTGCTTGGTCTTGCTGACCTCGTGCTTGCGGCGGCCGAGATCTTCGATGTCTTGCGCCAGGCTTGTTTGCAGGTTTCCGGCCGGGAGGCGCAGAATGCGGCGGACTTCGGAGGAGATGCGCGTCGCGTTGGAGTGGACGTAGTCCATCTCCGAGAGGGTGGCGGCGAGCTTGCGTGAGAGACGAGGGGGGAGGGTCGTTGGGATGGAGGAGACCATGTAGGCGGCTGTCAGGGCGGCTGGAATAGTCGGTTAGTGAACAGTTCAAGACAGTGACTTATAGGGTAGGACTCACCGATTGCCATGACACCAGGAATGAACAGGCGGCGCATATTGTTCGGTCCGAGGAACTTGACTGCGCTGAACATGCTGTCGATCCAACTGATTCCGCCAAAGGCACGGCCTGTAAGAACCGTCAAGGCGGTCATGGCCATTCCTGTGCCGGCCACCTTCTCTTGACGCTCCCAAATGCCCGAGACGTCGAAGAAGTCCCATAGTTCCACTTCCGTGTGCACTTGTCTAGCGAGAGTGTGACGACGACCGCGACGGAACATCATGTCTGCACGGAAGTTCAAGGGCGCAAACTTGTCCTCACCAACATGGAGGAGACCGATGTTCTGGATGAACCCGACGCCCTTTACCGTCTTTTCACGAGCGTAGTCCTCGCAGCCAGTTACAGCTGAAGCGATCTGCTCCAACATGGCCACCTTCAGGTCTTCAGCATATTGGAATGCGGAGATGAAACCCGGGTATTCAACGCCCAGATCAGCCTCCGAAACACGGGCGATGGTTTCACCCAGAGTAGACCGGGTGTGGTTGTAGACATCGTCGCAAGACTCGTCGACAAGCTTCTCGACTTGGTCACCAATCTCAACCTTCTTCTTCTTACCATCTTCGTATGCCGGCTCAAGCTCCGCCAGCTCGTCTGTGACGCGCTTAAGCTCGGTCTCAGCAACATCACGGTTCACCGACGCCAACGAGTTGAGGTCAGCAAGCAGGTTCAGAAGGTAGGTCCTGGCAGGAGCAAGCTTCGAGCGAGAGCGCTTTTCGAGAACGAAACGGCGCAAGGAGCCCTCCAGGTTCTCAAAGTCTTGAATCTTCTCCCTCTCCTTGCCCTTTCCTTTATCCTTCTTGCCGGAAGGCTTATCGTCATCATCATCAGAGTCATCGCCATCACCGCCACCGGAACCAGAGCTCTCCACCGAAAGCGGGGGTGCTACCGGGATAGCATTACTCGAGACAAAGTGGACCAGCTCAGCTGCTTCCTTGTACGTACGGGGACTGAGCTTGCCAATCTGATCCAAAATCATCCGCTCACAGCGCTGCTTGTCGCGAATCTGGTCGAAGCCGTTGACAACAATGAACATATAAGCTTTCTCATGGGCAGCATTAAGAATGAATTCCTTTGCAGAGAGAGTGAAATGGTTTGCAGCGGAAACCACAAAAACGACCACATCGATCTCCTCCTGCCGGGCAAAGACCGCCGTCGTCTTAAGCGAGTCCGAGTTCAGACCAGGCGCATCGATCAGAGCAATATCCACCACTCCGTTATTGAGAAGAGATTCGTCAATCGTCCGCACATCCTTCACGTAGACCTTGCACTGCATGTACTTGGAGTTGTCGATGACAATATTCTCCAGCTCCTGAAGCGCATACACATCGTAGGTACTCTCGTCGTTGCGGTTGTAAAGCACATCCTTGTGCACGGCATGAACCTCTTCTACACCGCTGTTCTCGCGCGCATCCAGAACCTCACAGAAGATGCTCGTGCATGGCTGCTGATCCTCGGGGAGAACCTTGCGCCGCAACAGCGCATTACAGAACGTCGACTTTCCAGCGTTCAGATCACCCGTAATCAAAACCTTGCTCGACGTATCCTCGATCCGATCCCGCAGCGACAACAGGTGCTTGATACTCTGGCTGATCTTGCCATCCAAAAGCGACGCAATCGACGCTTTCTCCAGCGAGTGCACCAGCTCCGCTTGGGACAGCGCACCCAGCTTCAAATCCAACTTAAGAATAGAAAACTCCTGTGCTATCTGGGGGCTCATCAGCCTCGGTTCCGACGGGACACGGCGTTCCGCCGCAGCGCTAGATTCAGCCAGATCCTCGCCACCGGTCATCGTGGCAGCGCGTCTGACCATTCCGGGACGGGGGAAATCTTCCGATTCGGCGCTTGCATCTCCGAAAAACGACTGTCTCTTCTGCAAGGCGGGCTTTGGCGCGGGGGAACCAGGAGCGCTCTGGGAAGAGGGATAATGCGCGGGCCATTGGCGGTTCATGTTCTGGAGTTCTTTGAGGGTTTCGATAGTGCGCGAGATAGCACGCGCGAGCTTAGTGCGGTTCGAGTTGCTGCAGATTCAAAGAGCGCAGTGGTCAGTGTCTGCACAGCCCTTTAAAAGAAAGAAAAGTGATAACCACATACTATAATAATTGATGAACATGGCTCGCAACAACATGTCTCTCATGCTCCACTGTATAACCCGCACATCAGTCACCTTTCCACATAAACTATATCCGTATCAGTCCGGGAACAATACGAACCGGCAGGATTCCATTCTCCCAGATGCGTAGGGGTATGCATGGGGGTAGGGCGATCGACCATCAAATCGGCCCTCCAGTCGCCACCAGCATCACCTTCCATCACACTTCCACTGGGGATACTGCCTCCGTAGCCGGAATCTTCATGCAGGGAAGCCATCAGGGCGGTCGCGCTCTCGGAGGTTGAGCCATTGCCGACGGTCATGTATGCAGGCGGGGGTCTCGGAAACATAGTAGAAGTACTAGTGCTAGGAAGGCGTTCCTCCTCCGTCGGCGGCGGAGGATAGGCGTGAGTGGGCGAGGAGGACGAAGGTGAGGATGAACCCTCGCCGGCAGAGGAGGCGCCCTGGCCGGGGAAATACTCCTGACTCATGGCGACCGACAGAGAGAGTATGAGGGGAGTTAACAGGGATGGAAAGCCATCAATCGGTGACGCGAAGATGGAAAGAAACGAAAGATTCCCTGGAAAAGCCCAAAGGGGTTTGGTCTGGTTTTCTGCATGTGACACTGTTTTATTACCGGAGTAAATTAGAGGTATGTAATTAATTGGTATTGTATGGTACGGTTACCTTGATGTCACTTCAACTAAAGAAGTAGCCTGACATCCTATCTTCATTCCTCATCGGCTACTTTGTTATCGTTTCATGATCTCTGGCCCTCCTCATTCCTCTCTTCCTCCTTCGCCCACCAGCTGCATGTTATCCCCATCCTGCCGAAATAGCAATCACCATTGAACTCTATCCCGACTCTCAAATACCCCCACCATGAACGTACGTCCGTCCCCTATCTATCTGATCTATCCACCTAACCTTTCCCCTTCCCCGCATCGCCCCAAACTCAACCCAAACAAAATAAACTAACAACCACTCCCCCACCAGATCGTCGAATGGGCCTTCGGCAAGCGCATGACGCCCGCCGAGCGTCTGCGCAAACATCAACGAGCGCTCGACCGAACCCAGCGCGAACTGGACCGCGAACGAGTCAAGCTTGAGAACCAGGAGAAGAAGCTAGTCCAGGATATCAAGAAGAGCGCGAAGAATGGACAGATTGGTGCTTGTAAGATCCAGGCGAAGGATCTGGTGAGGACGAGGAGGTGAGTGCCCCCCAAATCCCTTGTCTATTATCCCGAAGGGTGGTGGGCAGTATGCTAATGAATGATGCGGGAAACAGGTATGTCCAGAAATTCTACCAGATGCGGACACAGTTACAGGCCATTTCGCTGCGGATACAGGTACGATTTCCCTTTTTTTTTCCATCTTACGCAAAGCAATCATAGCTTACAATGATGGATGGATGAATAGACGGTACGAAGCAACGAACAAATGATGCAATCCATGAAAGGCGCAACGATGTTACTAGGCAGCATGAACCGACAGATGAATCTCCCCGCGTTGCAACGAATCGCAATGGAGTTCGAGCGAGAGAACGATATCATGGATCAACGACAGGAAATGATGGATGAGGCGATTGACGAAGCAACGGGATTGGAAGGCGAGGAGGAAGAAGGCGAGGATATTGTCAAGGAGGTTCTTGATGAGATTGGTGTGGATCTTAGCCAGGCGGTTCGTGTCCCCCGTACCCTCACTCCCTTCGCAGGGAGATTTGGTGAGGTATATGATACTAACATACTATTCAGCTGGGAGAAACACCCACCGATATACAAAAGACGGCTGTGGGCGAGACGAGA